TGTCAGACTCCTGTCAGACTCCTGTCAGAACTAGCACCCACATGACATGAAGCTGATAGCTAACAGGCAGTTCGACATGATCTCAAACACTCCTCAGCCGACTGACGTGAACTTCCTTGCTCTCCGCAAAATCGAATGAACCTCTTCCTCAGTGAAAGAAACAAGACTGCTTGAACCTCTTTGCATTACTCGACCAATAGATTGGTCCTTGATTCCCAGTTAAAGTGGTTCAGTAATCCAGGTTCCCTAAACTAGTATCTCTTTTTTTTTCTTTTTTCGGACAAATGCTCCAGTCTATATTCGTGTGGAGCAACTTCTCCACCCTCAGTCTTCGAACCCCTCCATTCTGCATGAAGTAGACGATTCCCTAAACTTTTTTTTTTTTTTTTTTTGATTATGCGTGTCATCCTTGAGTGCGCAGGGGCCATGCGAATCTTCTGTGTATCAGTCCAATCTTAACGGATGTCCCTAAACCAGTATCGGATGCATAAGGAAAAAGAGGGAAAAAAAAAAAGAAAAAAAGCATCCGATGTGTAATCCAGGTTCCCTTTCTGCTGTTGCACCTGAATCCTCTGAAGTGAACAGACCCAGACCAAGCCAGTGTGTCCCATAACCATAGGTACAGTTTGAGATTAGTCCCACAGCATGCATAGCTTATAGACAAAGCATGTTCTTTTCTATCCTCAGCTTTTCTATCCTCAGTTCCAATCAATTGATAGTACTCTGTGCACTCGATTCAGCGTTCGCACATGAATTCCCCGAACATTAGAGTCCTCGGGAAAGCGGCAAACGATCCATGGACGAGTCCAAGAATGAAGCCCATGACATGACTAGTGCATTCATGAATAAATCATCAATAGTCCATGTACAGTGCATGAAAAGTGCATGAATAGTAACGAACAAACAGTCCATGAACAGCCATGCGTAGTGCACGATTAGTCCATGCGTAGTCCATGAGTAGTGCATGAAAACTGCATGGATGGTGCATGAATAATACACAACAAACAGTCCATGAACGGCCGTCAGCAGTCCACTAGGAGTCCATGAGTAGTGCACTGACCGTCTCCAGCCGAATAGAACGCCCGGTCATTATCGCTGCATCTGGACTGAAGGTTGCCCTGAATACCGCTACAATGACCGGCCATTCTATTCGGGTGAAGAAGGTAGTAGTCCATAATTTGTCCATGAATAGTACACTAGTTGTCTGTGAATAGTCCATGGAGTCCAGGAATAGCCCAAGATTAAAGTCCATGAATGATCCGAGAATGGATTTCTCCACGGATAGCCGAGGAATAGTCCAGGCATAGTTCAGCAATAGTTCAGGAATAGTGCAGCAATGGTCAAAGAGTTATCAGCGCATAGTCTAGCGAGAATGAAATCCACGGATAGCCGAGGAATAGTCCAGGCATAGTTCAGCAATAGTTCAGCAATGGTCAAAGAGTTATCAGCAGGAATGGTCAAAGAGTTATCAGCGCATAGTCTAGTCCAAGAATAGTCTGGCAATAGCAGAATATGCCGTGAATAGTCAACTAGTACTAGTTGCAGAATAGACCCCAGGAGTTGTTCACAGAATGGGAATAGTCAAAGACTAATCCAGAACTATCTATAGTACAGCTCATAGTACTATCTATAGTAATTATTAGTCCAGGCTACCAGCAAACTCTCCGATCTGTTGAAGCGTCAATCCCATAAACATCAGTCCTGGAATAGTACAGCAGTACTCCAGAATATAGTCGTCTAATAAACCAGGGGAAAGTCCTCAGCAGAACAATACTCAGAAATAGTCCACAGCTTGTGCGACTCCCACACTGGGCATTCTCTTCTTTTTTGTTCTATGCCATTGTATACTATTCTATTCTATCCCGTTCTATCCTCTTCTTTTCAATCCCATGATTATTCTCTTGATCTGATATTACGTGGATTCGAACTTGAATCTGTATCTCAACAGTTCATGTGTGTACCAACTGCGCTAGGCCTGTTGGTCCCGTTCTATCCCAGTCTATATTGCATTCCATTTTATTTGCTAATGACACCCAAACTGAATGCACTGTCAATCTTAAATTCTTTATTTTTTATTTTTTATTTTTATTTTTATTTTTTAAATTCTTAATGCTTGCAGTTTTGAAACAGCACAGATCAGGAATAGTCACAACACATGCTCAGCTTAGACACCGACTATTCTGGGTGTACCAACTGCGCTAGGCCCGTTGGTCCCGTTCTATCCCATTCTATATTGCATTCCATTTTATTTGCTAATGACACCCTAACTGAATGCACTGTCAATCTTTTTTTTTTTTTTTTTTTTTTTTTTTTTTTTTTTTTTTTTTCTTAATGGTTGGAGCTTTGAAACAGCACAGATCAGGAATAGTCCACGACTATTATACAACATCCACAGCTCAGACACTGACCATTCTGCATGAAGTAGTAGGTGAACTGCTTTATCTATGCGTAGTACATACTATACTTACCTACCAAAACAGTTTCGCTGGGTACTCGCTTCGCAAACTCCAGACTACATGTAGCAGTTTTGATAGGATAGTGCTTCCGATGTTCTACGGGACTCAGGAAACCCAAAGCTTTCACTGCATTGTTATCCGTACTCAGCTTCAGATTGTATACCGCATAGTCACAAGCACTGGCGCCGACATTCTACAGGACTCGCGACTCCCAAAGCGTTCACTACATTACTATCCGTACTCGGCTTCAGATTCTATACCGCATTGCCACAAGCACTGGGGCCGACGTTCTACGGGACTCACGACTCCCAAAGCTTTCACTACATTATTATCTGTACTCGGCTTCAGATTCTACACCGCATAGTCACAAGCACTGGTGCCGACTATGTAGAAGAGCACCACCACATAGTCACAAGCACTGCGGCAGACTATGTAGAAGAGCACCACTACATAGTCACAAGCACTGGGACAGACTATGTAGAAAAGCACCACCACATAGTCACAAGTACTTGGGCAGACTATGTAGAAGATCGGTACTCGGCTTCTGATTCTATACGACATACTCACATGCACTGGGGCAGACTATGTAGAAGAGCATCACCACGTAGTCCCACGTACACGAGCCAGACTATGTAGACGATCCACACTCGGCCTTAGGTTCAAAACCACATAGTCACAAGCACGGGCCAGACTATGTACCGCATAGTCACAACCACTGGGGCAGACTATGTAGAAGAGCATCACCACATAGTCACAAGCACTGGGACAGACTATCACCACATAGTCGCAAGCACTGGGATAGACTATGTAGAAGAGCATATCCACAACCAAGAAAGTGACCACGCTAACCACCAAACCTCGTACTGACGGCCCAGATACGCCATCGAGATTTTAGAGGGGAGGCTATCTGGCGTAAGCCGAGCAGCTCGACTGATTCCTAGTCGACGGTTTATTGAATGGGCTGTGGCTGAATTCATGCTCGATATTGATAGTGAGCCGAAGACTTGAGATAATCACAAGAACTGGGGCAGACTATGTCGACTAGCAGCACTTAATTTGCACTTTAGACCTGGCATGATATCAGACAAGCACTCACCAAGCTAGACTATGCAGAAGAGCATCACTTATGTCCACCGTAGACCTGGCATGATGCCAGTCTCTGCACCACATAGTCCTAAACACTCGTCAAGCCAGTACCCGAAGCGCATCACCTTGACCTTGCACGATGCCGCATACTTCATGTAAACTTGGATGCTTCTGGAATCCAGTACCCAAAGCGCATCACGCATCACCTTGACCAAACCCTTTCCCCCCCCCTCCTCTTTGTGTCACATGGCAACATTACTACAAGTGGGGCAGTGAAAGACACTGTTCATGACTCTTGCTACACTTTTCTCTCTATCTCCGCCACCCTGGCTTATGTAAACTGAATGCCCAATCTCTGTCACTGTCTACATTTCCTTCACCCTTTTGACATTTCCGTCTGTCTGTCCGCCTGTCTGTTTGTCAACTGTCCGGCTCTCTCACACACCCATAATGATACACTTGCAAAAACACATAAAATGTGCTTGCAAGGAACTAGGCAAGCATGCTGCCTCCGTCTTGCATGACCTTGCACTTTCACTCTCTCCTTTTCCCCTTCTCTGCCTCCCACTCCCTAAACATACACAGGCAAACACATACAATGTGATGCCCCCATGACTCCCTTATGCATACACCCCTTCCCACCCTCCCACGCCCCCGCCCGTCCCCACCTCCCATTCCCCCCCCCCTCTCCTTCCCACTCCCAAGACGTACACAGGAAAACACATACAATGTGTTTGCAGAGACGTCTGTGAAATGCATGAAACAGAGAAACAACTCCCTCATGCATGCTTCCCCTCCCCCTCCCCCTATCCGTCACCCTACCTTCTTTCCTCCCTCGTCCCCTCTTCCCTCACTCTTTCTCTCGTTCTCTCTCTCACTCTCTTTCTCACAGACACACACACTTCTCCCCCCACCACGAACGCCATACACCAACAAAACTACAGTTTCTGTCTGTCCATGTGTCCGTCTGCCTCTGCCTCACAGTCTGCCTACATGTCTCTGTCTCTCTACCTATATCCCGACACTGCATACACTAACAAAAGCACATGTATGTTCTCAAGGGAGCATAGGCCGAACTGTCAAACATAGACGCTTTCCGTTTGAAGGTATCTTGAATTCCTGTCCTGCATCCCTGGTTCTCTTCCTCTTAGATGATCTCATCGTCTCTCTCTACCCTCCACTCTTTCCCCTCTCCCCACATTTGATGTGCTCCCACGAAAGATGGCATGCACACACGAAGTTAAATGATGCCGCCTCCTTGCATGACCTCTCAGTCTCCTCCCCCTCCTCCCCCCCCCCAAACCCTCCCCCCTTCTTCGACTTCCTGGTGTCCATCCCCTCTTGCCAGCACCACACACCTCAGAAGGAATACCAAAGACCTGATCCAGCGATGCAGGATTAATACGCCGATCACCGCCGACATCGTGATAGAAGAAAAGTACACTTAACCCCGTAGATCGCTTTTCTAGCACATCCCTCCCCCAGCCCAGGTTCCCATCATCTCCATAGTTATTGTCACCCCCTCTATCCCTCTCCATGCTCTCTCTCACATACACAGAAGCGCATACCATGTGTTCCCTCTAGGACAACACCAAGCACGCATCAAATGAAAGAACTTCCCTGCTGAGCATAATCTTATCTGGTCCCACCATGCCTTGATGATTTCACAGTCTCCGAGTCTCTCGCCAAAAAGGACCCCGATCACTGCAGAGTTTGTACCTCGGTCGTGCAACCAAAAATATTTGCTCTTTGGTCCTTAGCTTGCAGTGGTACGTGCAGGACGAGGATTCGGAATCGAGGATGTCGCAAAATTCTGTCGCCTCCTCAAGGAATATGCGAAGGACACAAGTATTTCATCTTCTTCCACTACCTGCAATTCCACCCAAGCAGGTTCTGCAGTCAGGTCCAATCACTAATCAACAACCACTTCCCCACCACAGAGTTCTTCCATACAGAAGGTCTGTCCTAACCTCTACTTCTGGAACAGGTCTCAACCTCCAGTCCCAACCTTCCAAGTCCTACAGTTAGTTCAGACTTCCAAGTCCCAACCTTCCAAGTCCCAATCTTCCAAGTCCCAACCTTCTATCTAGGTTATGCAGGCAGCGCGACCCACTGTGTGTGCACGAGGACGAAAAGGCGTCAACACTCGCATGCACAGTTATTGGATTCGTTTTGTTTTCGGCTCAATTACAGATGGTCTTGTGTGCGACTTCTCGAGCTTCGCCCGTGCAGGTGGACGGGAGGGAGTAGCAGTGGTAAGGATTTGTGCTGAATGGTGAGAGCGAGGTGTGCGAGAATTGCCGTGTCCCTGTGGTGTTGTGTGTGGTGTGCGTTGAATAGGACACTACAGCCTTGCAGGGGTGGGTTGGATATCAGGACTGGTATGGTTCCACTTTTGAGCACCATGTCCTGGCTGTAGTGGTTAAGATCCCTGGCTCTTGAGGCTGAGGTCGCCGGTTCGAATCCGTGCTTGCACGGTGGAGGACGTCGGGCTCATGCTGGGATGGGTAGTGCCATCATGTAACCTCAGCTGTTGGGGAGCTAGATGTGCAAATTCGCTTAGCTGCTTCTACTCTTGGCCTGGATGACAGCATGGAGTCCATGGACACTTTTTTTTTCCCCGCTTTGTATTACATTCAAATTGAGGAGGCCCTCTACATCTCAACCCGGAGTGCTAGGGCCATTACCCCGATTCGGCTGGACTGTGGAAACTGGGTCCAGCATCCCATAACCACAACAAACTGCGAGCACACAGAGAAACTGGACTAACAAAAGAGATGCAACTGGAGAAGCAAGAGGGGACAAAAAAAAACAACCAACTAGCCTACATGACTGGGAGCTTTTGCCCAGCTTCTCTCAAACTGCTACTCTTTATTTGGGGTGGAATTGAGGTGTTCAGCAGTGCTAACACTGACGGGGGCGTTTTTTTGTTTTTTTTTTTTTTTTTAAAGAAAAAAAAAGAGGTGTTCAGCAATGGGATCCTCACAAGGAGGTTCAGAGAGTGTCCGTCGTGGGTGTAACTGCCACCGGTTGGTGTTTTAGAGCACATGGAGAAAGGACTGGGCCTCTAGGGTGCCTTTGGTATTCGAGCTCCTGGTGTTGCTGCGAGGTCTTGTGATGTAAAAGGCCTGGCCTGAGTGTCCATGGACGGGATCAGAGGGCTTTTGTCATGGGTGGGATTCAAGTGCCTTTCATTCAAACTGTTAGCAAATGGTATGTTCGTGATGCCTGTGTTTCCCAACTGTGACGAGCATTCGCCTTGTGGCTCCCTGACACTTGAGGGCGGTGGCATACGGTGTGAGTGGGCCGTAGCCTCGTTGCGTATGTGGGCCAGTGTTCATGCTGGGGTGTTAGCTTTTCCCCTCTGCTGCTCCCTCAAGGTAGCCTACCTTTGCTTATTATGTTGCCTTGCTCCCTGCGGTGTTGCTTGCCAATCCTTTCCACTCGCATGCCCTACTGCTTGCATGACTTGCTAATGCTTACCTTATGCCCTGTCTCTTATACACATCTAGATGTGTATAAGAGACAGCTTATACACTAGTCAGTTGTTTCCAGACCGAGGCTACTGCCTCCACCACTCTAGGATTTAGTTGTCATTATTTTCTGCTTTCCTAGGACATGTATACTAGGTGGTTGTTTCTGCTTTCACTTGGGTTGCTAGCTGTGACATTGTTGTTTTTGTGACATTTTCTATCCTAGGTTGCAGCGCATGGACTCAACATGGAGTTTGCTCCGCATCCTAGACTACTCGGGTTTTCTTTTTCTTTTTCTTTGGTAGAGTTTCGCTTCTTGGTGGAAGCACGCTTATATCTCGGCGATCCATCATAGACCGAGGATCGTGTAGCGGACCTCTGGTTGGCCTGTGAGTCCAGCCCCTTGGCCTGTTATCACATACCTGTTTTGTATTCGGGGTGGTTTAGTCCAGGCCGGTACGTCTGTCGGTACCAGCCAGTCCAGTCCAGTCCAGTTAGTCCGTTGCGGTACTCCAAACTGTGCGAACGTAGAATAACCCAAAGTACAGACTCTGGTGGGGTATACCCCTGCCAGAGTGTGTATTTTGGGTCATTCTACATTTGCACAGTTTGGAATACCTGCGCTGGAGTCTCGCGTGGGAGCTGCGCTGTGCCATCTTGCTCCACTCTCATCCTCCATCTCCATCTCTATCCTAGGTGGAGCACCACACCTGGTGGGTCGGCCACAATGTCCAACCCAATGGATAGTATTTGGACTACCCCATTGATGGCAAAATCATGCTTCGGCATAAAGGGCCAATCGTGAGCGTAAAGAAAGGCGCGCCAGAGTTGGTTAAGGTAATAATCCCCACTCGCGTCTGCAAAAAAAGGTTGAGTGGTTGCTGATGCATGCATGCTCGTTAAGGGGACTATGTCGTGGATATGGCAAAGTCACGTGACTCAATAGATCCACTCCTTTAACGAGAGCAGTAGGTGCACAACAAGGTGAAGAAGTACATCTTTAAGCTCAATTATCACAGGTTGATGACTATCCAACCAATCTCATGTGATAACATTCGGGAGTTGTGCGAAGGGGAGCGTATGTTGGGTATCCTCTAGGACCTTTTGAGGCGCGGCTCAGGGACGTGACAGATGAGTCATTCTTATATATTTTCGACTGCATCGAGCATGTTGACATATAAATCAGGTATGTACATTCCAATTACTAGAGCTACAATAGACGTGAGGTCATCAAAACACCTTCATGGGCCTACCCATACGATAGACATCAGGTTTCCGACAATGTCTGTTCACATGTGGCCCCCACTCGTAAGAAGCAAAACTTAGGTCTCTTTGGTCACGTCGGGTGGAGATAAATGACTTTGGCAAACCCCCTCAACCCCTCTCATTAAGTCAAAAACCCAATCAAGGTTGATTCCCACGTTGATGTGACATTCTTCCCAACGTCTTTGAAGTATATTTCCAAAAAGATTTGTTCATCCTTTATGGATATTACATCGTTAGGAATATAAGCAGATAATACGTTAGAATGTGTTTCGAACCTATTTACTTTATTACTACGAAGTTTCGTTTTCGCTCGAAAGTTACGGGCACAGACTTAGTGTCATTTAACGAGTAACAAAAAATAAAGGAAAAGGATATAAGATAAAAAAAAGTTTGACAGCAGACAATACTACTCCCAGACACTGATGCTTAGTCATTGCCTGTTGAAACCTCCCAATTTGCCCAGCCACAAAAAGGGGTTACCCTCCGGGTCCTTAATGCGTTCATATGCAAACAATGGTTGCTCTAGGATTCGCTCCATAAACCTCAAGCACACCAAGTGGAAGGCAATATGTCTCCATAGACCTCAAACCCACCTCCTTAGGCCGATGAGCAGTTGAGGCTGCACAACTGCAATCTCCATGTTTGCAGGGTTTATTTTCATTGCCTCCGCGAATGTAAGCACCGCGAGCATCTTCTACGACTTCCGACCATCCTCCAATAGTAGCCACACTATAATTCAGAGGTGCAGGGCAACAACTTGAAAATATGGATGTTTCGGAACGAGGTCGCCTGCTGACCGTGGATGGGTCAACTTCTCCCAACACACTCTAAAGATAAACTTCGACATGCTTGGGTCTTTCTTCCAAAGGAACTCGCAGAGATTTGTTTGATATGGCCGCCTTGGACCCTCGCCGATCCCCAGGGGCAAGGGGTAGGGATTTCGTGGGTGGGGAGAGAGTGCTTTATTTGCTTAGGAGAGAACTCGCAGAGATTTGTTTGATATGGCCGCCTTGGACCCTCGCCAGTCCCCAGGGGGCAAGGGGTAGGGATTTCTTGGGTGGGCAGAGAGTGCTTTGTTTGCTTAGAGTTGGTAGGAATTCGGAGGAGAGATGGTGGGGAAACAGAGCTGTTGGGACATCAGGGAACTAGATGTGACTAGATGAGATTAAATTTGCTGAAAAGGAAACCAGTGTCAAACATTGAAACACAATGGGACATACCTTCGGGGGGAAGCGACAGATTTGACACGGCCCTTAGTTGTTTCCCCCCCGTGGATGAGCTATGGGTGATTGGGTGCGTTTCCGGCTGCCGACACGTGGGTTGAGTGGGTGTAGTAAGGAACCCGAGTTCAGACCGCTGCATGTCCTGAAGCAGGCACAGATGCCCTAGGGCACCCTTGATACCCCCCCAAAATCCCCGTTCGTCTTGATTTCGCTATTTGATTCTACTTGCTGGCGGTAAGTTACCAGACCACTGCCCTGAAGAATAGATGGGGCTTGTGTCTTGTGAAAAAAAACACAAAGAAGAAGAAGAAGAAGAAGAAGAAGAAGTAGAAAACATCACCACACCCTATAGTCGACACTCACACCATGTCAGCATACCATATTGTGGATAAGACACATCACTTCGCTTTAACGACCCGCCTACATATTCCAGGTGTGAAGTTTTTTCCCGCGTGGTCATCTTTTTTACTACCATATCCAGAATTGATTCCAGCGGATCACCATTTGTAAGTGCATTGGGCGCGAACGAGAAGATTGAAGGTATGTAGAAAATTCCTTTCGGAGTACCTCCACTTCCTGCATGCTGGGAACACTTTTGGGAGTATGCGCCTCGATCACTTCAATATCACCAGCAAAGGCGTTGGACTCAAGCTACAACAAGTTCCTCGTGGTAGGAGCAAGACCATCAATGCATCATTTGCCCATATCTTATTGCGTAGGTGCTCAACGAAGAGGACATAGATCCCACACGAGAGTGGACACCCTTGCCTCACAGATCGGCAATTGGGAATCACAATTGAGATAGTGACGATCATCGTATTTCTCGCATTGATGTTCGTAGGGCAAATACTGTAGGGTAAAAAACTGTTGTAAGATATTCATTCTTACATCCATTTTTTGATTTGAAAGACCTGTCAATTTATTGTTTCAATTCACCATGGTGCGACAGGATCTATGTAGGGTGTTCAGTAAGAATAGCTACCCAAAAAAGGTGACAACCGATACGTTATATCAAGTTTCACACAGTAGTACATACACATAAGCTTTACAATATCTTGCAAGCACTAAACCATACAAGTACTACAGTAACAATGTTAGAAGGTTCGGCAGTTGAGAATCACAATTGAGATAGTGGCGATCATCGTATTTCTCGCATTGATGTTGGAAGGGCAAATTGCCAAATAATGTATAAGATATTCATTCTTAGATTGTTTTATTTATTTGAAAGACCTGTCGATTTATGTTTCAATTCACCATGGTGCGAGAGGATCTCTGTAGGGTGTTCAATAAGAATGGTTGCCAAAAGAAGGTGACAACCTATAAGTTATATCAAGTTTCACACAATAGTACATACACATAAGCAATGTTAGAAGGTTTGATGCATTTTTCGATATTGAGTCATGTTTTGGTATGTTTGGGGGAGAGGCGGTTAACGAAGACCATAATTTTTAGACAACTTGTCATGCCATTTATAACAAAATACAAGGGTCATTTTAATCAAACTTACCACCAAGGAACACTAAACCAAGAACTTTTCATAATTTCACATGGTTTCTACTACTTTCTAGCATGCATAGAGATTAATATTGCTTAAACATATTCTCAACATTGGTTCAACATGGTCTCAATGTATGAACAACACTTCTAACATTGAGGAGGATGAAAGCAAACATGGACAGGTGATTAACACACACAAAAATAATAGTTTCATATCATGCCATATATATCACACTAAAAACAATACAAACAATCTATAGTCTACGCGTATATACCATTCAGTTTTGATATTAACCCACAGGCCAAAAATCCTACGGCCGCAAAAAAACTCTGGATGTAGGTCTTTTCTGCACACCAATTCCTACCAAACCGGTACAGGATGCCACACGTGGTTAACGGGAACCCCTGTTTCAGCTCCTGACTAACACGGCCAAAACTGAAATTAGGGTTTGGGGGTCAAATTTCATGTTTTTCCTTTTTTTTTCTTTTTCTTTTCTTTTCTTTTCTTTTCTTTCGGGCCTGTTTTTGTTTTGGTTCAAGGCTTGTTGTGTACCAAATTTGGTCTCATTTGGAGCATTGGAATTTC